GATCAATTTTACTGCTATAGCTCAATGCTATGTAATCATGGGATTTATTATTTGGTGAGATGTACCCTCAGATGGACACAACTGTTTGATCAACTTTGATTTCTAATTTAGTTTTTTCACCTTACAATGAAAGGATATGGTCCAAGATAGAAATAACATCCATAGTGTTTGAAAAGGCAGATGAGACATCATTTTTAATAAGACAGAACAAGGCTTAACATTCAGATAATCCATATAAGTAGAATTTGGGATAGTTCAGGCATACAGTTTGTTATTTGCTCGAGGCAAGTAATAAATCTTTCTGAACAAGTTTCTTACTACCTCACATGGCAGGCCTTTGGACATACCAAGATGTTTTCTTGTATTTAATGACTGCATTCCTCACTGGAAGTCATTTGCAGGAGAGAGAAAAAAAGATTTCTATTTTAAGCCACACATATGTGAACTGGTAGATCTGTTAGAGATTCTAAGCTAGTCAATAGTTTGTATCTTTACAGTGTGGTCTGATCATTTGTTTAGAGATAAATCCTCTTGTACTGAGTAATATTTATTTCAAAGTAAATGTGTGCAGATTTGCAGTCTCAGCACAACAGCCTTATGAGCATAACTATACATATAATATTTATAATAACTATAATAACTATGAGCATAACTATACATATAATATTTATAATATTGTAATGTAATGCAATATAATACTAGTAATTGTTTTTAAATGCATAATGATTTTGTATTCTGTATATCTAAACTGTTGTAAACCGCTCTGAGTCGCCTAAGGGCTGAGAAGAGCGGTATACAAATAAAGTAAATAAATAAATAAATATGTTAGTATATCTAACTCATGTTGCACATTGTACATTTCTGTATGTTGGGTTTCACATCAATTTCACAATGCAACCCTTGTGTTGAATGGCAACTAAACCAGGACACTAAAAATGTAAGCAAAATGTACAGTGCACCTCCACTTGCCAATGGTAATACATGCCCATGTGCAATGAAACTGCATGTGCAACTATGGACCTCATTACATTAGAGCATGTTTCCACTTTAAATCCAGTTGCTGCCTCCTGAAGAATTCTGGGGCTTGTAGTTTAGGGGGTGGGCCTTTAAAATGCTCAGCCAGAGAGGTCCTGACTCTCACCAAACTACAAACTATAGAATTCTGCAGGAGGAAGCAACGGGGTTTAAAGTGAATCCATGCTCTAATCTGATGAGGCAGCAAGTCTTTGTAACCCTGAGCTACAGGCAGATATTCTCTTAGCAACATAAGCATGTTGAGCAAATTATTCACCATAGCCAATGGACATATTGTATGACCCCTGTATCCACGTGGGGTATTTTCCTGGATTCCTTTGTGTGGATATACAAAAGTGTGGCTAATAGTGAGCTCTATTGAAATGAGGGACTTCTGGCCTAAGAATACCATAGAGTCACACTGGATAACTGAGAAAATGTTTAGTGAGAACATATTTTGTGATATGTGGATAAATGACACTGCCAATATCAGTTCTGTGGAAACAGGAAATGTAATATATTCTGCTGACAAAATAGTGACAAGAAGACAGCAGAGTCAGGAAATAGACAACTATCATAAACTTCTTCCTGCCTATCAGAGTGAATGGGAGGAGCAACCCATGAGTACAGGATATTTCTCCTCCACTGCAGGAAAAGCAGAGTTGCGCTTATAGCAATATTGGACACGGTGGCTGTGCATTTGCACATTGCACAATGGCACCCATCATTGACATGTGTTGTGCAATGTTGTGAAGTGTTGCTATTATTCTTGAGGGTTGCATAGTGCTGTCACAGTGTATCGCCACACATAGATATTTAGTCTATGCTGAGGGAGATGTTGGACTGCAGCATACATGTGAGAAAAATAGGCAACAGCTTCCACAAGGGAACTTCTGCTATTTAGTACACCAACAGGATTCCTGAGAAGGAAACAACAGTTCCAACTACAGAAAACAAAGCCACACTGGTAACCTCTTCTCAAGCATCATATGAACAGTACAGTGACATATCCATCACAGAGTAGTGCCCATGACACCCTGTTACTTTTGAAGGATTCAGTCATTTCACACATGACAGTGGGGGAAACCTGCTGTGAGTAGATGTCTTACCAACATACAAAAAAACATACAGCATCCCAGCTGTCTTACCCTACATACAACTACCAACCCAAACGGATATCTCAGCATCTTCCATTCAATGTAGGCAGCAAAAATCGAATTAATCTAGAGCCCCGAAAATATATTCACACAAGTTAAATTACTGAAAGAGAAAGAAGGACCAAAAATACAGCAAATTACCAAGAGAAGTGAAGAGAATGCCTGCATATAGAATAATTAGGCTTCTCTGGAATAAGACTCCAAGGCAGATTACAGGATCGAAATCCATCCATGGAATGAGAAGCAAGCTACAACAGTGCTCAAAGTGAAGGAAACATAACAAATAAAAACTGAACTCTGAAAACAGTCATAAAATTCAGACATGCAAAACAGGTGGGTCAGGTCTGAAATTCACCAGAATGATAGAAGTACTAAAACTAGCCTATGAATGCCTTGCAAAAAATGTTGTATCTGATACCAGAGAAGTAGGCAAGACAGGACTACAGCAGTCTCCTGATTATCATGGGACAGTTATCCCAGCAACTTAGTCTCCATTGGATTTGGGTCTGTTTTTGTTGTCCTCTTCTGGACACATTTCAGATCATCATTCTCCATAAACTGGAGACAATACTCTAGCGTGAGAGCTGACCAAAGCAAGAAGAGTATAATATATTCTTGCAATATTGAGACTGTATTTGACATTAGTCACAGAACAGTGCTAACTCTTTTAGTAATCACAGCACAGTGCTGATTCATAAGTATGTACTGGTTCTCTAAACCTGCAGGACTCTTTCACACACACTGTTGTTGCCAAGGGTCACTCATCCTATATATTTTTTCTACCTTAATACAGCACTTTAACTTCTTAACACTGGTTAAGATCTTCATTTTGCATAGATAATCTAGAATCCTTTTCCTGCCACTTAAGATATTAGCTTGGTCACTCAAATTGCTGTCCCCTGACAATCAGATGAGCTATCAAGATCCCAAAAAGCTGAAATTGTAGCAGCATGTGGTTTCAAATAATAGTCAATAACCCAAGCCAAAGACCTGCAGAAGTAAACAAGATCTAGAATGGTCAGAAGGAATCTCTGCCTACCTGTACTAAAAACAGCTGAGACAATGAAAGCAGTAATGAAGTTGCATCATAAATGGGGCAGGTCCCAAAAGGCTTGAAGGTGATTTTATCAAGATTTCTCCTCCAGCAAAATTTCCGACATTGAATCTTGAATTACAGCACCACTTATGTAATTCGTCCTAACATTTTGTGGGAATAGAGGATACAACTTTTCAGATACCCAGGTCACACTGCTAAGATATAGGAACCTGCTAAAATATAAAGATTAGCAGTTCTATATGTTTTCTCATGTCCAAAGTATGACATTCTCTATTTGGTTATCTAAACTTCTAGGGAGAACCCAGGCATGAACTGCTCTAGGACCCATTTATTTGTTCTTTCAGAACTCCAGGACATTCATAGTACTCTCCTCCAGCACCATCTCTCAAATGAGTTGATTCTCCTTCTATCAGTCTTTTTCAGTGTCCAACTTCCACAATACATAGAAATTGGAAACACAAAGCAATGAACAATACTGGTATTCAGTATCTTTACACTTGAGGATTGTCTCTGGTTCAGTGGTTTCCTATTGGAGACTGCAGTCAAGAAAGAAGGGCAGGTGTGAAAGAGTTACTCAGTGATTCCCAGTCTTTGGTCTTCCAGATGTTTGGGCTTCAATGCCCAGAAATCCCAGTCAGCGTACTAGCTGTTAGGAATTGCAGGAGCTGAAGTCCAGAACACCTGGAGGACCAAAGGTTGGGAACCACGGAATAGTTATTTCATACCTGCCATCTTTCTTGACTGCAGTCTCCAATACAAGGTGAAACAGTAGGAAAAGAGGAAGACTGCGCTGCAGATGAATACACCGTCAGGGAAGACACAGCTCAAAGTTTGCAAGACCTGAGCAGGGCTGTTGATGACAGGATAACCTGGAAGTCTCTTATTCATAGGGTCACAATAAGTCTGACTCAATGGCAGTTAACAAAGCAAAGTATAAGGTCTTTTTTCAACCCTTGACCCTTTACACCCTTCCCAAAAGCGAATTGTCTCTCCTGGGAACAGTGCTCCCACAGCCATATCATACTTGGTTTTCAATTTTTAAAGTGGACTTCTAGCCACTTCTATTTTGGGGGATTTTTGGCCCTCTATGATCTCTAAATGGTCCTAGAAACAGAATATTTCTCCATGAACACACTGCCATTGTCCATCTCTACTTACAGGTATCCTATGTCTCCAAGTTGCTTACCTGAGCAAAGTAATGTTAGTTTGGCATCCCCACAGGTGAAACTGTGGCACACATTTCTGCCAGGCATCTGTATGTGGAGTCCCAAAGATATTTCAGTCCTTGGGAATCTCATTCCTACTCATTTGCCATTGTTATCATTATGCTCTTCCATGTTCGTTTTGAGTGTCATGAGAGTTGTCAAATCTCAATGTTATCTTCACCTGCAGGTTATGCTGAATTTATGCCTTATTGTGACAATAAAGGCAGAATGTTAAGCAGTGTGCTTTGATTCTCCATTGAGTACAATAGGTATCTTGCCATATGATACATACTGTGTGTAACTTTATAATGAGATGGATCACAAATGGACTTTGAGGAAGCTTACAATTCAGAGCAAGCCAGTTTCCCTACCTTCCGATCATAATTTTTGGCCCTGTGCTTATGCTGATGTGCCAATATTATGGTCAAATGGGCAATCTGACCATAATGGGCAACCCTAAATTTTAGTGCTGTGTCAAACAGTCCTGTAATGTCTAACAAAAACCAGTTGATGAATTAATTCTTAAATTAAATCCCGTGTGTGAAAAATGTACAAAATTAACACATATCAGATTTTAAAGTAATTTATTGGAAATAGTTCTTGGATTACAAACAAGCGATTCCCATTTACAGAATGTACTGACAGCTCATGGTAAAAACATAGCCTTCCAGTCATTTATCATACAGCCCTGCAAAATTACAGAGTCATATATCTAGCTAGCTTTTCACTCAGCCCTTTAAATAGTTTATTTGTGGTCCAATTACCTGTTGATAAGGCATTTCCTGAAAGAGTGCCAAATTTCACCGCATTCTTGCTATGCTATTTAACAAGATGTTGTTAGAAGTGGCAAAGACAATTCATTTTTGAGTCTACTACCCTGTGAAAATGTAACCCACTTTCCTTTACACCTTTCTGCTGAAGACTTCTTTGAAATTAACATGCTGTAGAGTAACAAAAAATGGCTCGAGTCACAGCAATATAAAAATTTGGATTCAGCAGTATATTTAACCTATTAATGTGTTCAGCACAAGCAGGGCGCTATTCAGGCTGCATGCATGTTAGTGCTCCCTGGATGACTTACTGTGAACACTGCAACATTATGGAACAAATCACCAGATGATTTTTCTGCACCTTTACCATATTAACTGTAATTGCTCCTTTTGCCCATTCTGCCCCCAAAGGAATGATGGCATAAAATCACTGACACTCAAAGTACAATACAACAACTAAGCATTTTCTGTGAAATTTCTGGCACATTAAAACTGAAGAATTCTGTTCCTTTATATAATCTATAAAGCCATTGGTCTTAAATTACATTGTTTCATTAAACAATCTCCCAGGAAGCATTGGATGAAGTCTTCTATCAGAATCATTTAAGAGTTAAGTTGCCACATGCGATGATAAAACTAAGCTACACATACAGAAGATGTTCTTTTTAGATAAACAAAAGCCACAGCACACATCTGTTAACTAGCTTGCATGAGTGTGCTTCCAACTAGCCATACAGTCACTATCTTATAAGCTTAACTTTTTAATTTTAAATAAAACCATTTCCATTTATACAGAAGATGAACAAAGATCAGTGTTTACATATGATGTGGTCACTAAGTATCTACACTGCTTACACTTAATAGCTCAACAGAAAGCATGAGTTTGATTCACAGAATAAGTAGGTCCACGATTGTAAGTTAACAATAATTCTTTATTGCTTTATACATGTGGTGCTTTCTCAAGGCACTGTGGCATGGACTAGAAAACTTGGAATGATTTGTGAAGGAACCTGGAATGACATATGGTCAACATGGAAAGTTCTTCAGAAGCAAGATGACAGCAAATTTAAATTCCGAGTTATCAAACATCAGGAATGAGAGTTCATAGTTCACAGGAGAAATGAAGCTATCTTGTACAAAGATTTAATCCTTCACATTCCCATCCTGATACTCTGAATAATCTGGAAGATAGCTAGAAAAAGAACAAGAGAAAGATGCTGATAAACAACAGAATTTGTCAAAAGTTCAATATTTATTTATTTATTTATATTATTTCTATCCCACCCATATCAGCCCGAAGGCGACTCAATTATAAGCATTTCCATTAAGACAGAGTCAATACAACGTATTTAAAAAAACCATGAATAAGTTTATTTTAGGAAACTGCATGGATATACTATATATGGGTGTACTGCTTTATGCTTTCTTGTTCTATGTAAACGTTATAGTAACATTACAAAGTAGTGAGTTCTACCATATGGCAAGACGTTTCATTTTCCTGGTTGAAAGCAACCATACTAACTATCAGTGCGATGCCAGATAAATCACTTTTGACTCCATCTGATATATATTTTCTTAGAAGGGGAACATAACCCGGACTGCTGTCTTAAAAAGCTAGCAAGGTTTACCAAGATGATTTTATTCCTTTCCTTACCATAAAATATGGATATACTATTTATAGCTCACTTATAGTTATTTTAAAATAATTGTTTCTGATCTTATCATGAATGGGAGCTGCTAAAATAGACTTTATCATCAGATATCAAGCTTTTTCCTTTAACATAATTTGGTTAGGCCTTTTTTATTTTCAACACGTGTGTAAAACCAAAGAGAGAAATAATAAAACCCAATATTATTATACCGTTATTAGTCTCAATGCATATACAAAGCTGACGTTGCTACAGTTAAAGAGATCAACTAAGCACATGACACTCTTAATGACAGTGTTTAGAACACTTACTTTGCATAAGCCTTTTTTTTCAAAGATACCCAATTGCAGGAAGACTACCTTGCAGGTGATTTGGCTATTTAAACAGGGAAGTCTCAAATCATAGTGAGCACAAATATGAATGTGTTTATTATGAAGTGAATTCCACTGAGTTGTGAGATTAACCGACATCTTCCAATGATAGGAAATTCTACAATCCTTACATGCAAGTCTCACTCGTGCACTTATTCTTGTTGACCTACATAAAGTCAATGATAGGGAAGGTGGCTACTAGGGGAATGTGGACAGATGAAGACGTATGAAGTGCAAATTTCTTAAAACAGAGTTGAGTAACAAAGCAGTCATTGCTGTTGCAACTCACACTGAGGCTGTAACTCCATTACACTAAATGAGGTCCCAGGATAGATCACCTGCCACTCTCTATCGAGCCCTCCTGAATTCTCCCTTCACACACACTTTCTACTGATCACTAGTAAACTACAGTATTAGAATTCCTTGAGAGGAAAAAGGATCTTTCCAACCACTACTGGGAATTTTTAAATGCTATTTATATTTCATCCTATTTTAACATCTGTATATTTGAAATGGATATGCTGATGCTTTTATGTTAAGCTGCTTTGAGCTCCCTGCGGGGGAGACAAATAATAAAAATAAGCTTTATTTATATCCCGCCCCCTCTCCCAGGTGGGACTCGGGGTGGTTTACAACAAAACAGCAAATACAGTAAATGATATATCAAACAATAATCGCATGTCAATTAATAAAACAAAATGGTACAGTATTGTGAACAAAAATAAACAGTTTAAAATACTATTTAGCCCTCTAAAACAGTATACATATAAAACACTCTTTAAAACCAGCCAATTCCTATGATAAGGGTATCCAGCATTATAAGTTATAGTTCTGATAACCATTTAAAGTCCTGTTCGATAGGGTGGTTAATGCTCCTAGCCATCATCAAAAGCCTGCTTAAACATCCAGGTTTTCAACTCCTTCCTGAAAGTTATGAGGGTGGGTGCTTGTCCAATTTCCTTGGGGAGGGCATTCCAAAGGCCACTAACAAGAAGGCCCTCTCCCTTGTCCCCACCAACCTCACTTGTGAGGGGGATGGGATTGAGAGGAGGGCCTCCCCAGCTAACCTTTGAGTGGGGTATAAATGAATTTGATAATAATAAGGCCTGAAGCTATGTTTTGTGGAACCAATTATCTAGCACTTCTTCTCCATGAATACTTAAAAACTACAGCTCAATTTTCTTTCAGTTTTCTAAATAGAGTTGATGCCACCACCTGCACATGTGGTAAAGCTAATAAATTAGATCAATCACTGAATGTGTAAAAGGTAAAGATTTCCCCTGACATTAAGTTTAGGGGGGGGGGGGGAGAGTGTGCTTCTAAGCCGAAAAGCTGATGTTGTCAGTCGGTCACATGGCCAGCATAACTACATGGAGTACCGTTACCTTCCCGCAGAAGCGGTACCTATTGATCACATTGGCATGATTTTGGACTGCTAGGTTGGTAGAAGCTGGGACTAACAGCAGAAGTTCACCCTTCTCCCTTGATTCGAACCTCTGACCTTTCGGTCAGCAAGTTCAGCAGCTCAGTGGTTTAACCCACTGTGCCACCAGGAGGCCCACTCTAAATGTGTGGATGTCAACAATTGCAGGTCGGGACCAACTTGGGCCCTCCAGATATTTTGCACTCCAACTCCCACAATTCCTAACAGCAGACCAAAACACCCAGAGTGCTCAAGTTGCCCCATGCATCTTGTAGGGTTGTTGTGTTAAAATATGAACTTCAATATCAATAAAAGGTATCAGAAAGCCTTGACACACACCTTCACTGTCCCCTCATCTCTGGAACTCCCTCCCCAGGGAAAATAGGCTGGCACCCACCCTACCCACATTCCATAAGGAATTAAAGATGTGGATGTTTCGTTGTGCATTTGACTGATGACCCCTATGACAAATAATCTATATCATGACATGAATCTGAATTCCTATATTACGTTTCTATATATTTTTAAAGTTACGCTGAATTGATCCTGTTTAATTGCTCTGTTTCCATGCTATTTCCTATGCTATTTATTTATTTATTTATTTATTTATGTAAAACTTTTATATCCCGATCTTCTCTACCTCTGTAGATGGACTCAGACCGGCTAACAGCAAGAATTCAATGCTAAACAGTAAAAATCAAAGACAACCTATAACAAAAGTAAATTAACAATATATATAAAATAAATACACAAAAGCAGTTCGCCAAGATAAAAAACATGTCCAACTCAGTCCGTATATTGTGGTCAATACTTTGGTCGATTATCAGTCTCACCCATGATTCTGCAAATACCTCACTCCACAGCCAGGTTTTCACTAGCTTCCTAAAGGTCAGGAGGGAGGGGGCAGATTTAATTTCCTTCGGGAGGGAATTCCATAGCCACCACAGAAAAGGCCCTGTCTCTCATCCCCATCAGACGCGACTGCGAAGGTGGTGGGATCGAGAGCAGGGCCTCTCCAGATGATCTTAACGCTATTATATGTTTTGATCCACCTTATCCTTTAACCGGGTTTGCATAGTGGTCCTCCTTCCCTGCCCATCCAAAATTAGCCTGCTGTTGCTTTTGATGCTTGTTTATTATTGTTATGTTGTTTTATGCTGTTTTAATTTGTTATTTTTCCCCCTGTTGAAATCTTTCTCTTCAATTATTTTTTATTTTATTTAAGTAGACATCCATTTGGAAATGTTTGTTGCATACAGTGCAATACTTTCTATCTATTGTTTTGATTTTAATTGTATTTTGCCTTGGCCCCATGTGAGCCACCCCGAGTCCCTACGAGGAGATGGAGGCGGAGTAGAAAAATAAAAGTCCTTCTTCTTCTGACCCTATCACGACTCACTTACCGGATCTGCAGACCTCCATCTGCTGTTGCTTTTGATGCTTGTTCATTATTCTCATAATGTTTTATGCTGTTTTAATTTGTTTTTTTTTCCCCTGCTGAAATCTTTCTCTTCAATTATTTTTTATTTTATTTAAGTAGACATCCATTTGGAAAGGTTTGTTGAATACAGTGCAATACTTTCTATCTATTGTTTTGTTTTTAATTGTATTTTGCCTTGGGCTTGGCCCCACGTAAGCCACTCCGAGTCCCTTCGGGGAGATGGAGGTGGGCTAGCAAAATAGAATCATAGAATCAAAGAGTTGGAAGAGACCTCATGGGCCATCCAGTCCAACCCCCTGTCAAGAAGCAGTAATATTGCATTCAAATCACCCCTGACAGATGGCCATCCAGCCTCTGTTTAAAAGCTTCCAAAGAAGGAGCCTCCACCACACTCTGGGGCAGAGAGTTCCACTGCTGAACGGCTCTCACAGTCAGGAAGTTCTTCCTCATGTTCAGATGGAATCTCCTCTCTTGTAGTTTGAAGCCATTATTTCATGTCCTAGTCTCCAAGGAAGCAGAAAACAAGCTTGCTCCCTCCTCCCTTCTTCTTCTGACCCTGTCACGACTCACTTACCGGATCCACAGACCACGAAGATGAAGAGCGCCAGCAGCCAGGGCCCCACTGAAGCCTTCTCCTCTGGGGCGTTTCTCTGTGGGGAGAAGAGCCAGAATTATAGAAACACAGAGTTGGAAAAGACCTCATGGGCCATCCAACCCCCTGCCAAGAAGCAGGAATATTGCATTCAAAGCACCCCTGACAGATGGCCATCTAGCCTCCAAGGAAGGAGCCTCCACCGCACTCAGAGGCAGAGAGTTCCACTGTTGAACAGCTCTCACAGTTATAAAAAAGGATAAGGAGGAAGAAGAAGGGACCTCATGGGCCATCCAGTCTAACCCCCTGCCAAGAAGCAGGAATGTTGCATTCAAAGCACCCCTGACAGATGGCCATCTAGCCTCCAAAGAAGGAGCCGCCACCGCACTCTGAGGCAGAGAGTTCCACTGCTGAACGGCTCTCACAGTCAGGAAGTTATCAAAAGGGATCAGGAGGAAGAAGAAGGGGATTAAGAAGAGGAGAAAGCAGATCTGGGCCAAGTTGGGCCCTGCAGGGGGTTGGGACTTCAACTCCCACCATTCCTAACAGCCTCAGGCCCTTTCTTTTCCCCCTCAGCCGCTTAAGCGGCTGAGGGGGGAAAGGAAAGGGCCTGAGGCTGTTAGGAATGATGGGAGTTGGAGTCCCAAACCCCTGTAAGGCCCAACTTGGCCCAGGCCTGCTTGAGCTGGCCTGTCCTCTCCACACCCGCCCTTACCGAGGTCTTGGCCACGTTCCCGCGTTGTGTGATGTTCTTGCTGTGCTTCTCGTTGGCCATCCGGATGCGCTGCTTGGCCACCATCTTTGCTGTTGCTCCCTCCGAGCGGGACCTGCCTCCAGCCAAGGCGCCGCGTAAGCAGCAACTGCCCCTCTCACGCTGGCCCCGCCTTCCGGAAGCGCGTCACCGGCTGCTGCTCGGAAGTAGCCCCCTCCCCCTCGGGGGAGAGTCTATCTCCTAACGTTCCCCCGCGCTCTGGTCCAATCCGTGTTCGCCGACCAATAGCGAGGCTTGCTTCGGGTGCACGTGACTTTGGGAAACTCCGCGCCCCTCCCTTCGGGTTGGTACACGTCACCACGGCTCTTGAGCTGGCGGCGGCGGAGAGGAAAGAGAGAGAGACGTGTCCAGTTCCGCCTCCCCGCGACCCGGAAGAGGAAGGCCCGGATCCGGCTCAAGATGGCGCCTCCCACGCCACTCCTGGCAGGTGGGTTCAAGGCTAATCAATAGGCTTCCTTCTCATTCCTCTTTTCTCATTCCTCTGCATTGGGATGTTTTTCCAGATTCTTTCCTTTCACTCCAGGGCTCTTCAAGCCTCGTGTTCATAGATTGGTAATCTTCATGCGGACCACCTAATAATTCAATGTATATTATTTATTTATTTGTTTACCGCATAGAATTATAGAGTTGGAAGAGACCTCATGGGCCATCCAGTCCAACCCCCTGCCAAGAAGCAGGAATATTGCATTCAAATCACCCCTGACAGATGGCCATCCAGCCTCTGTTTAAAAGCTTCCAAAGAAGGAGCCTCCACCACACTCCGGGACAGAGAGTTCCACTGCTGAACAGCTCTCATTCCTCTTTTCTCATTCCTCTGTATTGGGATGTTTTTCCAGATTCTTTCCCTTCACTCCAGGGCTCTTTAAAGCCTCGTGTTCATAGATTGGTAATCTTCATGCGGACCACCTAATAATTCAATGTACATTATTTATTTATTTGTTTACCGCCTAGAATCATAGAATCAGAGTTGGAAGAGACCTCATGGGCCATCCAGTCCAACCCCCTGCCAAGAAGCAGGAATATTGCATTCAGAGCACCCCCGACAGATGGCCATCCAGCCTCTGTTTCAAAGCTTCCAAAAAAGGAGCCTCCAACACACTCCGGGGCAGAGAGTTCCACTGCTGAACGGAAACTGATTCCCAACAAATGGGTCAATCAATAACTTTTTGTCATAGCAGCTTAATGGAATCTCCATGTCCAGAAATTGAACATGGCTTATCAATACCCACTTTTTTGTGGGAGGCAACCACATCAGTGAACTGTTAAGTGTCCTGCCCCAGTTATAGGCTACAGAGAAGCATCCTACTAGGCACTGTGAAAAGCAGGAGATTTTGACATCATTAGAACCGGAAAAAGTTGTTTTGGGGCTACAACTCCAAGCACGGTCAGTGACTATAGTAGAGGGCTATAGTTCAAAAAGTAACTTTTCAAGCTCAGTGCATCACATCTGGGTGCTCCTCTGCCAACGTCCTTAGAATCATAGAATCATAGAGTTGGAAGAGACGTCATGGGCCATCCAGTCCAACCCCCTGCCAAGAAGCAGGAATATTGCATTCAAAGCACCCCTGACAGATGGCCATCTAGCCTCTGTTTAAAAGCTTCCAAAGAAGGAGCCTCCACCACACTCCGAGGCAGAGAGTTCCACTGCTGAACGGCTCTCACAGTCAGGAAATTCTTCCTCATGTTTAGATGGAATCTCCTTTCTTGTAGTTTGAAGCCATTGTTTCGTGTCCTTGTCTCCAGGAAAGCAGAAAACAAGCTTGCTCCCTCCTCCCTATGACTTTCTCTCACGTATTTATACATGGCTATAATATCTCCTCTCAGCTTTCTCTTCTTCAGGCTAAACATGCCCAGCTCCTTAAGCCACTCCTCATCGGGCTTGTTCTCCAGACCCTTGATCATTTTATTATTATTATTAAACGTTATTTGTACCCCGCTAGCATCTCCCGAAGGACTCGATGCGGCTTACAAAAGCCAAGGCCTCAACACAACAACAACAAACAATAACAATACAGTTCAAAGCAAATTTAAAAATTAAAAGCATAAGCAATAACAAACATTACACCATTACACAATAAAAACAGGGCCGGACTAGTGATGGGTACAGGTTAAAAAAGTGCTGGGTGTGGCTGGTGGTATGTTGGATTTCTGGGCAACTGCAATGTGCAGAGAGTCTTAAACTCTAATAAAGTGCTTCTGGGACATAGAGCTGGGGGTTATTGCTAAACAGCTCTCACAATCAGGAAGTTTTTCCTAATGTTCAGATGGAATCTCCTTTCTTGTAGTTTGAAGCCATTGTTTCACGTCCTAGTCTCCAGGGAAGCAGAAAACAAGCTTGCTCCCTCCACCCTGTGACTTCCTCTCACATATTTATACATGGCTATCATATCTCCTCTCAGCCTTCTCTTCTTCAGGCTAAACATGCCCAGCTCCTTAAGCCACTCCTCATAGGGCTTGTTCTCCAGACCCTTGATCATTTTAGTCGCCCTCCTCTGGACACATTCCAGCTTGTCAATATCTCTCTTGAATTGTGGTGCCCAGAATTGGACACCGTATTCCAGGTGTGGTCTTTTTTTTTTTTTTTTTTTTGTCGTGTCAGAAGCGACTTGAGAAACTGCATGTTGCTTCTGGTGTGAGAGAATTGGAAGTCTGCAAGGACGTTGCCCAAGGGATGCCTGGATGATTTGATGTTTTTATCATCCTTGTGGGAGGCTTCCCTCAAGGTGGAATAGAGTGGTAGCATTACTTCCCTAGATCTAGACACAATGCTTCTATTGATGCAGGCCAATAGGAAGTCTGAGAGGAGACATGATGGTCATGTATAAATATGTGAGAGAAAGTCATAGGGAGGCGAGAGCAAGCTTGTTTTCTGCTTCCCTGAAGACTAGGACGCAGAACAATGGCTTCAGACTACAAGAAAGGAGATTCCATCTCAACTCTCTGCCTCAGAGTGTGGTGGAGGCTCCTTCTTTGAAAGCTTTTAAACAGAGGCTGGATGGCCATCTGTCAGGGGTGCATTGAACGCAATATTCCGGCTTCTTGGCAGGGGGTTGGACTGGATGGCCCATGAGGTCTCTTCCAACTCTTTGATTCTATGATTCTCTTCTGCAGGCTAAACATGCCAGGCTCTTTAAGCTGCTCCTCATAGGGCTTGTTCTCCAGACCCTTGATCATTTTAGTTGCCCTCCTCTGGACACATTCCAGCTTGTCAACATCTCCCTTCAATTCTGGTGCCCAGAATTGAACACAATATTCCAAGTGTGGTCTAACCAAGGCAGAATAGAGGGGTAGCATGACTTTCCTATTGATGCAGGCCAAAATCCCATTGGCTTTTTTGCCGCCACATCACATTGTTGGCTCATGTTTAACTTGCTGTCCACGAGGACCCCAAGATCTTTTTCACACGTACATGTCTCCCACTCTGTATCTTTGCATTTCATTTTTTCTGCCTAAATGGAGTAGCTTGCATTTGTCCCCGTTGAACTTCATTTTGTTAGTTTTGCCCATCTCTGTAATCTGTTAAGATCATTTTGAATTCTGCTCTTGTCTTCTGAAGTAGTAGTTATCCCTCCCAATTTGGTGTTGTCTGAAAACTTGATGTTCATGCCTTCTAAACCTTCATCTAAGTCATTTATAAAGATGGCAACTCAAGGCAGTTCACAGTCGGCAGTGATTCGATTCCGTAACAAATATCAAAATGCAGTTAAAACAATTATAAGTACAATTCAACATTAAAATGTAATATAGAAACAATAATATCTGTAAAATCAAGATCCTCTGTGTCTCCTTACTATAATCATTGTCCAATTACATTGTCAGTCATTCCATCTATTCGTTTTCATCTAATTATGCTCCAGTAGTAAAAGCTTGTTCAAAGAGCCACGTCTTAACCATTTTGCAGAATGTTAGAATGGAGGGAGCCGATCTTATCTCCCTGGGGAGGGCGTTCCATAGCCAAGGGGCCACTACTGAGAAGGCCCTGACTCTAGTCTCTGCCAAACACATTTGTGAGGAAGGCGGGATCGAGAGCAGGGCCTCCTCAGACGATCTTAAAGTCATATATGGTTCCTAAGGAGATATACTTTTGGATAGGTAAGCTGGACCGCAACCATTTGGGGCTTTTTTTACATGGCCTTTGGTCCCTTCTATACAGCTGAATGAAATCTCATATTATCTGCTTTGAACTGGAATATATGGCAGTATGGACCCAGGTCCTTTCCACATAGCCAAATAACCTAGAATATCATGCCAGAATATTTATTTATTTATTTTGCATATTTGTATCCTGTCCTTCTCACCTCCAGAGGGGTACTCGGGGCAGCATTCATTCAATGCCAACAACAGTAATAAATGATAAAAGCACGTTTGGCGGAGACAAGAGACAGGGCCTTCTCAGAGGCAGCCCCTCGCCTGTGGAACTCTCTACCCAGAGACATTAGATTGGCCCCCTCCCTCTTGTCCTTGAGAATGAAAACCAAAACCTGGTTATGGGACTAAGCATTCAAACAGTAGAGGCAGCAGTTTAGAATGAGGCCCAGTTTGTGTGAAGGACAATGTACTGACCTGGACTATGATTTCAAATCTGCGTGTTTTATACAATATTTTAGTAATCTTATGTTTTAATTGCTTTTATCATTTTTTACTGTTGTTGGCATTGAATGAATGCCTGTTGCGAAGCCGGCCTAGTCCCCCTCTGGAGATGAGGAGGACAGGATACAAATATGCGAAATAAATAAATAAATATTCTGGCATTATATTCTAGGTTATTTGGCTATGTGGAAAGGACCTGGGTCCACACTGCCATATATTCCAGTTCAAAGCAGATAATATTGGATTTTGTGGTACCAACCTACAAGCATACATACATATTTTGATTTTTTTATATTCATTATATAGATTATATAGAAATATAGATATGGATAGTGTTAGGGAAAACTATCCTAAAATATACAGAGCATCCAAAAACTAGCAGGATACAAAAGCTGAGCATCAGCTCACTAGAGACATGCAAACATTCAATGCCTTAAAAAGTACAAAAACATCAGAAATAATACAGAATAATGCACAATAGCAATAGTAAACTTATAATGCAAAGATTAAATATTGAAATGGGAACTAAGTAACAGTAAACCAATAAGACAGTAAACTATCATATGAGTAAACGTTAAACATATATCATTAAAAGCAGTTTAAAATTGCATTGAAAAAGAAATCCAAGGTACTTCTGATCCAAGTCATTTTATGTAAAAGATACTCAGTCTGTATATGGAGGGCATTCTAAAAGTGTTCGGGGAAGCTCTGTGGGCTTGGAATTATGGTTAGTGCTCTTTGTATCTATTGGGGTGATTTCTTAACACATGACTGCTTATGCATTAATAAGGTTTTTCCTGTAAGGTAATATAAGGTGTTGGGCAGAGTGAGAGGAGAATTGTCTCTTGAGCAGAAGCAGTGGCATTGTTTTTGTACAGGATGTTCTGTCCTCAGCCTTCCCACGTTAAGTGGGAAGACTCTATTGTCTGAAACCTTGGAGGTGTATTCAATTGTTGTAGATCAAACAGCAATGAGCTAAATAGAATAATGGGTTGTTGGTATAATGATTGCTGTCTCTCAAGAGTAAGCCCTACTGTGTTTATAGGGGAGTTTATTCCAACCAAGTTTTCATAAGATGAGTACAGTACAGTCCTGTGTTCATGAGCTCTGCAGCCAGTCATTGTGCTCAGTCCGGCTTGTATTCATTGTGTCTGAAGGTGCATCTACACTGTAGAATTAATGCAGTTTGATACCATTTTAATTGTCATGGCTCAATTCTATGGAATCATGGGAGTTGTAGCTTGGTAAGGCACCGATGCTCTTTGGCAAAGAAGGATAAAGACTCTAACACAACATCTCCCAGGACTTAGTGGAGGCAGTTAAAATGCTGTTAAACTGCATTTGTTTTACAGGGTAGATTCAACCTAATATTCTGTTCCATTCAGAACTATGGGCTGTACAGGATATATTGTCCACTTGGTAAAGTTGCATTCCTACACTCTTTCACAGCACGTTCACTGGTTGAGCTACCCAGAAAAGGCTTACAAATATTCAAGGTGAATAACATTTCTCATAGGTGCTACCACACTATGTGCTCTTCTCAGAATGATTGCTTAGTGGATCCCAGGAGTATATTTTGTTAGTAAAAAGGGCCTCTCCAGATGACCTCAAAAACCATATGTAATAGAGAAGATAGTTTAGAAAACTATAAACATCAGTTACTTGACAGACTAACATGAAATAGGTAGACAGAGCAATTCTCTCAGCAGATTATTTAAATGTATCTTTTCTAGCTGTCCCCACTCAGGAGTCAATCTGAAGCCTCTCCACAAGCTGTAGTTGCTAGACCAGTCTTAAGGCATTCCCATGTCGAGCACATTGCATTGAGGTTACTAGTTCTACATTATTTTTGTTCAAGAACAGCTTCTGTTCGAACCATTGATGTTACTTGGACAGCTAGTGACAAAAAATGGGTTCAGGAGTACATCCAGGCTGCAAGCTTGATCATCAAAGGGAGCACAATCCCATCCAGAACAGATAGAGTTCCTGCCTGATAGGCATGGCAACTTCTCACTCATACAGGCTCTGGCTTGTCAAGATTTACCCTCAGTTTAGCGGCCCTCATCTAGACCTTTACTGCACCCATGCTCTGGTCCTGAACTTGCACAACCAAGCCCAATTCAGATGTAAAAGAAGTGGTTGTTATCAGCATGCTGAAGAGACTTCCACATCTTCTGTGATTGCTTCCACTGGCTTCTTCATCGAGGTTTTTTTGGGCCTTGAAACTGTAAATGCCAGTTTTAATGAATGGGAAAGCTTTTTGATTGCATTGCTTTGATCAGGTACTTTTTGATTAGATTGTTTAAGGACTAAAGACTGCATTTACCACCAAAAAGTTTATTCATAACTTGGCTTATTACATTTCAGCATAACCAGGCTCTTAATGACTATCAACATTAACATTAATTTCATTAGAAATTAAATGAATAAATGCCATTTTTTCTTCTTTTTTTTCAGTGCGAGGATCTGAAGGACTCTATATGGTCAATGGGCCTCCACAGTTCACAGAGAATACATCATTTCAGAGGTACTCCAGTATTCCAATTGACTTTTAAATTCAGTGAATTACAGGAATAAAAGTGGTTTCAATTAGGCTCACATTCTACAGACATGGATGTGTCTTTTTGGCTGTTAGATGAAATACTCCTGTTTTAAACCATATGTGTGAAAACAACAAATATACAGGCTGTTCTAGGAATTATAATAGTATGGATTACATGTGAATTATATTGCCACTTTCAGGACAGTGTGAATTGCCCAAGATTCTTTGAATACTGGGAAGGATGAAAACAAGAAATGTGCACATATTTAAATTAGTCTAGGATTCAGGGAAGAGATCTCCAATATAGTTATACATATACCTGCCCTGTAGATATGCTATTGATCTTGTGCTGTCCTGGTTTGGATACTCTCCTGAGCACATACAATCTATATATTATTTTACATTGCATTCAGTAAAATGGATACTTCCATATCAGGTTGTGCATGGCAATGTTGTGCATGTAAACAGTTCATATTTAGGTTGGATTAGGTTAATTCTGTTAAAATAAAATCAATAAACAGTTTTTAGATGGATCGGGTTTAGGGTTTTTGGGTGAGTTTGAAGCTTCACAAGATTTCCTATACTCTCACATTGGCTTACTAATGGTCTGAGTGCACATTCTGTTAAAACAATTGCCTCTTGCCAGAAAATTGTGCATTTGGATACAAAATCGCAAATCATGAAATACATACAGACCCTGGGTTGTTTTGGGTCATTAGGAAGAGATGTTTTTTGGACCTGGCAATCCTTTCCAGTGGTTTAATCTTAATATGGACACTCCCCTCATAGGTTAAAAGGACTACCTTTTCCAGGGGTAGTGTAGTGAAAGTCTGCTATTTGAAAACAAAGCAGGAATTTAAATGACCTGAAAAGACATCTAAACTGATGAATAAACAGCTTGAGGAATTCCTCATCAGTTGAGAGCCAAGACATTTTGTGCATGTATATGTACTTCAAGGGATCGTGGTTGCTAAAATGTATACGTTTCTGTCTCATATCTAGAGACTGAAATGATATCTTCAAATGGCTATGGAGCCTTTAAACCATTAGGAAATCTGGATTTTGTTTGACATGCATCCTCATTTTCTTTGGATTATGCCAACGGCTCAAATCCATATTGATGCAACAGTAATAATGTGGGCTTGAATCTGCATATGTCCTCACATACATGAGAGATGTGTTACAGCAATCCTTCTGGCAGAATGGATTTTGTATTGGAAATTCCTCCACCTCCAAAGCTGTGATGGCTTGATGGATCCTGCAGCCAAACAAAAGTGAGGTTCACTTTGATGCCCCCATGTCTTTCATTTTCTTTCCTTTTCATTATGGTCCTTGAGAGGGAATAAATTATAACAACTTTTAGGGATAGTGTAATCCTTTGAGTCCTGTGACAGGAAAATGTGGAGACTCTGAATCCTGTGGGACCTTGCACATACTCAGTTTACAGTACATTTGTTTTTTAGTCAGTTGTAGGATTGTACCCTTAAAAGAGTTTAGAAAATTGATGGAAATAAAGCTTCAGGTTTAGTTTGACTTACTATAATATGTATTTCTTGATAATTAGCTTCGGTGATCTTTAATGTCATTACAATTTGTTCTTCCTGTGTTTTTCAATTAAAACGATCAATTTATTTTATTGATGTTTTTGTTCTTGTTTATTTGAATTGCAGTCGAAAATTGTCTTCATTTTTTTTCAGGGAGTCTGGAAAAAACAGCAAGGTTTTTGCCTTCAGCAAGGATGGTTCCCTTTTTGCTTGGTGCAATGGAGAACAGTCAGTACAACTTTAATATATATATAATTTGATTGTTTTGAATATAAGGAAAAGTGAAAGAGAGAATGAAGAAAAAAGGTGTGCATGTGCATAGGATATCAATATATGCTAGCTGCATACACTTACAATCTTACAGTTTATCCAAGCAATACATTTCCATGGGGTTGATGTCTATAAAAACACAACTTCTGCTTTTCAAAGAACATCTGTTAAATTTGAGGCACATATTATAACATGTGTCATATATATAAAACTTTGGTGAACTCCAGCCAGTCAAGCAAGAGAGTATTTTTGTGCTTTCTTTATAAAATCAGTTATTGTGTAATCTACAAATAAAGAAATATATTTTGTCCATATGGTTCCCAGTGGGATGTACATATCATTTACTTCTTGAAAAGCAGATTTGGCATAGTTTTCACACTTGGAATAATATTTTTCCTGTATAACATAGAGCTCAGTAATACTTTTCTGGCACATTTAGTCAGGAACAATATCTATTTGACTTCAGGATCAGGGTTCATAGCTAAGAATTTTCTGATACTGCATATGCAAACATATTTTTTCAAATAATTTCAGTCATTTTTAAATGGGGGTTACATGTAGGTGAATAGGAATATAGCTGCATCTCTTTCAATCTATGTGTTCATTGTCAAGAGGATATATGTAGATGTTTAGTTTTGAATCTTGAGATTTCCATCTCGTGCCCAGCAGAATTTAGCTTCATTAAAATAATTGTATATAACTATGGGTAGTACTTCAACTTTTAAGGCTAAATGATGTAATGTTTTTAACTATTTTAATACTTCGATGTTTATTTCTATTTCAATGTTTATATGTTTTTGGCTTTATATTGTACATTTTTATTTTTTAACGTTGTTAGCTGCTTTGAGTCTTCTTTTAAGAAAGAAAACGTGGAACAAAAATATAAATAATGATCAAATACATTTTATCTTGAGATTCCTATTTTGTCTTTGTGCATTAGAATAGATGTTATTTTGATTGATTGCTTTTTGTTGTGAGGTGAGCTATTTGATACATGCAATCAGCCTTTAACATTTTGGTTTGATCAGTATATACTAAATGAAACTGACTATTTTTTGCGAAAACTTCTCTCAATCACATATGAATCATTTGTAGAAATTTAGAGAAGAATGGGATGCATGGGAGGTAAAGTGGCATATGAACAGATCTTTAAAGTTAGCATAGTTTTGAATGAAATTGGACTTCTGTCTGCCTCAATTGCAAGCAGTTGTAGTAAGACACATGAACTCGAGTGTTTGAAGGCTTAGAGCTCAATGAGTAACTCCTGTAACTGTTTTTAAAATAGTTTGTGAAATACTGAATATCATTTTAGAAAATCTGTTTTCTGCTTGGTGGTTCAAAGTAAAGAAGATTTAGAGGTGAACATAGCTATTAATTAACCATTCTAATCAAGTTTTGTTGAAGTGACCTCTTTTGGTTCCAGAGTAAACATGGTGAATGTCACCAGCCACAATGTGCTACAATCCTTTGATCTGCCAAAGACTGTTTGCCTTGCATTCTCGCCAAAGAGCAATGTCCTGGTAACGTGGCAGCCCTATACAAGTAAGTATTTCAAATGTCTGCTCTATCTGCCTTCACTGAAAATATGGATACAGCTCTGAAACAGGACTCAGTATTATGGACAGGCAACACACAGCTTCTCTGCAGTCCTTGAATCCTATTCCAACCTATAACGCAGGCATGGACAAACTTCACCCCCAGGTATTTTGGACTTCAACCCCCACAATTCCTAACAGCCTACTGAGATTTTAGAAATGGTGGGAGTTGAAGTCCAAAATACTGGGGGGGGGGCAAGTTTGCCCATGCCTGTTCTACTGCAAACAGGCCCCCGAAAGTGCAGCTGCTACAGAGAGCAGAAGCTCTCGAAAGTCACCTTTTCTGTTTTTCCCCTACCTGCCCTGTGGTTTGTTAGGACTGTTCATGTAGGAAAACTTACTGTCACCCTTCTATATCAATGTGTGCCATTTGAACAGCAGCTGCATAGGAAGGGTTCATCCTCCAAAGCAGAAGGCAGGCATTGGCCCTATAACATCTTTGAGAATTGCATATCCCTGCTGCAGTACCCCCCCTCCCCCGAAATAAATTCAGTTTACCTATTACTACCCTAAAGGACATAATCCCCAACATGAAAATGTAGAAAGTATTATTCAGAGGTATGAAAGCAATTTATGTGCATTAGTTCCCCCTCCTTTGTTTTTTATATGTCTCACTGATGTGCCCCTTAGTTCTAATTGAAATTTCTCAACATGGGGACTTGGCTTTTGATATGCTATGTACAAGGAAGACCACAATACAGATGGATTGATCAAATCAAGAAAGCATGTACCCTGAATCACTTAGGAAGGCCTTCATTCATAGATCACCATATGTTATAGAGCAGGACTTATTCAGCTTTTCCAACTCATAAACCCTTTCCATCCAATAAATTTGTTTGTGATTCTGGGCATATAAGTATATAAAATATAGGTATAAAATCTAACATTTACTGGCAGTCAGCATCTGCAAGGCTTGCTAAACAGGCTGCATTTTCTGCAGAGTTCACTATAAACACTGCACATTGTTGCTAACAGATTTGTGTAAATTGGAATTATGTGCAATGACTACCGGAACGACCTGGATTATGATTGCGGATAGCGTGGTTTTATAGTGACCGTAATGTTTTAAAAATGTTTAATGTAGTTCAGTTTTGATCTTCTTTAATTTAAATATATATTTTAATTCTACAGTGTTGTTAAGGCATTGTTGCCTATCTGTAAGTCACCTTGATTCCCCTTGAGGTTGAGAAAGGCAGGATATAAATATAGTAAATAAATAAAATAAATGGGTGGCATTCAGAAACCTTTTTCGTGACTCCAGCACTGAGTTAAGGGGACACCATTTGGTGTCACAACCAACCGTTTAAGCAGTGTTATAAATAATGTGAGGCAAAATTCCAACAGTCTCCAGATGTGATAATGTTTATATAATCTTAGCAATGAAAGGAGCAAAATGCCATCATGTCATCATGTCCAGCACAAGCAAAGCATTTCCAAAACTATTGATTTTTAATTCATGCACCCTGTTCAGATTCTGTTGTGAGCTGCCTTAAGTCTTTCAGAGGAAAGGTGGGATATAAATAAAACAAATAAATCTACGCATTATGATTCTGCTATGCACTGACATATCATCTTCCTGAAAGTTCCTCCTCTCTCAACTGCCAGCTGCCATTTTAACAGGTTGCAGTACATCAGCATCATGGCAACAATCTTGCTGCAAGATGGTTTTCCTTTTTTTCCTCCTTCTCCCATCTGTGTCCTTTCCCTTAAACTTTGGATTTTAGTGTTCCAAAGTTGGTCCAAGGGCTTTTAGGCTGAATAGCAGGATTAAAACGAATGATGCAAATCAGGAGTAGATGACATCTAGTCTGGGGATACATGCAGCCTCCGCACACAACTTTTACCTTTGATCCTGCCAAACTCTAGATTATCCTTTCCTAGACAAGGAAAAAGGTGTACTTGCCCTTCTTGAAAGGTGAATGAGTGATAATTCACATTTCAAATAGCTTGCAAGACCTCCTTGCAGCCAATATTTTAAAACCTACCTCTATTCTAAGAGAGTTTCCAGCATTTTGTTTCATTTATTTATTCATTTATTTTGGCAGTTGTATGGCGCTCTAGAGTGCTCCAGGGCAGAAAACTGGTACCCAGACCTACCACAGCTGCCTACCCTGCTGTAAAGAAATAAAGCCTTGTTGGCATTATCTTGTCTGACCTATCATGACTCCAAGGAGAACCTCTCAATAGCTTTTTCTTGGCAAGATTTGTTCAAAGGGGGTTTACCTTTGCCTTCCTGAGAGAGTGTGACTTGTGTAAGGTGTCCCAGAGGTTTCCATGGTCAAGCAGGGAGCCAAACCTTTGTCGTGTAATCTAATATTCAAACCACTCCACCACATTGGCTCTCATTTTCAAAACAAGCCTTTGGGGTGAAAATAGAAGCGATGACAGTTTCTTCCTTTAAATGAAGAAGGGAAATAGATCTGAATCTGAGATTTTTGCCCCTGGCACCTTTCTAGGCATTGCACAAACTACCCAAGCTAGCAAAAGAGACAACACTGAAAGTGGCACTTCAGGTTTTGAAACAAGGAATCCCAGCAACCTATTTACAAAATGAATTGCCTTTCCTAAGTGCTTCCAGGAGGCATGTTCTTGTCTTTTCATCAAAACAAATAGTAGTTTGGAGTTGGTACAAAGTCATCCAGCAGGAGAATAATTGAGAGCCACAGTTCTGAGGATAAACTAATCTTTCTTCCTCAGTTTTGCCATTGCTAAAATGGTTCCTATTAAATTTATGTTATGCTGTAGAGAAAAGAAAATGTACCTTGCTGTCGACCTAGTATAAGGGAAGGCATTTAAGACAGTGGAAACAGCACAGCAGTCAGGGATAACAGTGTTTCAAGTATCATTTTTTCTGGCTTTTAGAATGGCAATCGAACCATTGAATTGCAGTTTGTAATGGGCTATGTTGAGTAATACAACTAATGGGAACTGCAGTCCAACAATAACTGGAAGGGCTCCTGTTGCTCATCCATGTTTTAGAAAAAATAAAATGATGTTAGGAGTTCCAGATGTGGATCTGCCATGTTACATCTAGATGAGCCTTGAAGTGGACAACAAAGGTGTCACTATTTTGATGCAGCAGAGAAAGTTAATTGAAGAATGGAAGGACGTGTGGCACAAATTTATTGTTGTGTGCCTTCAAAGCATTTCTGACTTTGGGAGAATCTATTAAGGGGTTTTCTCGGCAGAATTTGTTCAAAGAGGGTTTACCATGGCCTTCCTCTAAGAATATGCGACCTCTCTAGTGTCACTCAGTGGACTTCCAGCGTTGAGCATGGATTCAAATCCTGGTCTCCAGAGTCATAATTTAGTGCTCAAACTACTGACCACATTGGCTTTCTGACACAAATAGGCGACTGAAATGGGAGGATGGACTGACTTCAGAAGATAGCTTTACCTGAAGAATAGTGAATTGTATTTTGCTCTCTAGAGTCCAAAAGACTCAGCATTTTACTTCAAGGTGAGAAACCTGTGAACTCTAGATTTTTTTTTTAAAAAAAGCAAAATAGTTTATTTTTGAATGTATGGAATAATGGAAGGTAATGCAATAAGTAGCTTATTTGTGTCCATTCACTTCTTGTACATTTATTAAGAGGTTGAACAAAATACATCAATGTAGTCAACAAAAAGTATATAAATAGTACAAGACAGCAAAGGAGGCAAGAGACTGGAGACAACTGCTGCAATGTCTATATGTTTTTTGTAGCTGCAAAAGATGGTGCTGCAGGGATACCCAACTTACAACTTTTTGATGTGAAAACTGGAGAGTGCTTGAAGTCTTTCATCCAGAAAAAGATGCAGAACTGGTAAGTGGCTTTTAATTGAATAAAAGGTAAAGGTTGTCCCCTGACATTAAGTCCAGTCATGTCTGACTCTGGGGTGTGGTGCTCATCTCCATTTCTAAGCCAAAGAGCCGGCGTTGTCCATAGATACCTCCAAGATCATGTGGTCGGCATGACTACATGCGCTGTTACCTTCCCGCCGGAGAGGTTTCTATTGATCTACTCACATTTGCATGTTTTCGAATTGCTAGGTTGGCAGAAGCTAGGGGCTGACAGCGAAAGCTCACGCTGCTCCCTGGAATTGAACTTGCGACCTTTCGGTCAACAAGCTCAGCGGCTCAGCGCTTTAACCCACTGCGCCACTGGGGGCTCCCTTTCATTGAATATATCTATATAAACATTACATTTTTATTTATATAGATATTTAATTGAATATATCTATATAAATAAATATGTAATGTTCATTTGTGAGATTAACGTAACTCACAAACCACAGGGTAAATTGACACCAAATTTTGACACAAGACACCTCTCTCAGGTCAACAAGTTACCATCACTCATAAAAACACTGAGAAGCACAGCAGAAGAGACTTTAAAAGCCAAAAACAACAAAGAAAATTACAATGCACGCACAAAACCACATATATATGCAAACCCAAAACACATATACACAGATTGAGCTACCTCATTGTATGGCAGGGGATGGCTAGTTGTTTCTAAAATGTGATTCGAAAATCTGGAACACTTATATTCAGTTGTATATAAGCATGCACTATTTGTCACTTGGTAAATTCATTTTTGCTTCAATAATTGTATGTTGTTATTGAACCAGCACAAGTGCCCTGTAGTGTATAAAAAGGCACTAATCAATATTTGAAAATGTCATCTTCCATATCATTTTAATCATTCCTAAATATTTTCAAATCAGATACCTTCAAGTTTTTAAGTACGTATCTTAAGATTATGGTATGGTGTTGCTTTTCTGAGTTTGTAATATTATCGTTCTTCTTCTCTCGCCCATCACCTTTTCTCTAAAATTAGGTGTCCTTGCTGGTCGGATGATGAAAGTATATGTGCCAGGGGTGTTAACAATGAACTGCACTTCTTTGAAAACAACGACTTCAGTATGCAGATCTTTCTCTGTTCTCTAAATAAGGTTTCCTGTCTAATCGCTTTTTGTAAACTGTCTTGCATTTTAAGCTGCCCACATCTGTGGAACTATAGCATTTTACCCCCGGTGGCGCAATGGGTTAAACCCTTGTGCTGGCAGGATTGCTGACCGAAAAGTTGGCAGTTCAAATCCAGGGAGTGGGATGAGCTTCCATCTGTCAGCTCCAGCTTCTATTCAGGGACATTCTCATTCCCACAGAATAATAAAACATCTCAGCGTCCCCTGGATAACGTCCTTGCAGACAGCCAATTCTTCTCACCCCAGAAGCGACTTGTAATTTCTCAAGTCGCTCCTGACACGGAAAAATAAATTACAACACATACTGTTCAGTAATACGAAACTTGGGTTGGGCATGCATTCATTGATATCAGTGGGGCTTGAGGAAGCAAGTTGATTCCTTTCCCACCTGCAGCACTTGGATGAAGAATGCACTTGGATCAAAATGAGAAGTGGACATAAGTCTGCTTTCAGTTGAACAAACAGAAATTTATTAGGATTAAAAACAATCACAATGGTAACATTGCCACTTGTTTAAAAAGTGGATTGATATCCCTGGAAGCTTCCAGAATAGTAATTCACACACTACTTTTCCAACAGAGCAAGGATCTGGGAGTAGCATATGAAATGTAGGATTCCCATGGGATACTTGATTCCTACTTCTGGTCTTCTCTCCAAAATTTAGTTCCAACCACTGTATTACATTTAATCCATACTTCAGAAATACAGACAAAATTGAAAATGGCTCTGAAAAAAAGTTAGAATGTTTCTCACAATGATGTCAGAGAGGTAGATAAACAAATTGCTCCAATATCTCAGCAAAACATTAAAGAGCACAACCTTATAAACATTGGGGAAGGCTTTTACTATGTTTAATATACTTTTCCAGTAACTACTGTAATTTGTATAAGAATGAAAACTAAATGTAATAGTAGAGTCAGATAGTAGAGCTTTTACTTTCACGTGTGTGTATGAAAAATGTTGCATGAGTCTTGTGTTTGCCCCCAGTAATATAGACAGACTTGGCCCAAGGGATTGGGGTGCCACTGTATATCTTTTAAGCAGTCATAAAGAAGTGGCTGGCAAAGGTATACAACTGCTAGCATAGGCATTTGTCAGTCCTTTCGTGTTTACTCAAGGCTGTATTGGATCATGCCTAGCAATGTACAATTTTGTTAAATTTTGCTGAATTGAAAAAAGATCATGTAGCATTTATTGAATTGAATACCATTGTGATTTTTCAGGTACAATTGCAAACAAGCTTCATTTACAGAAAGTCACTGATTTTGTGTTGTCACCCGGAGATCAGCCATCCAAGGTGCATCCTTTTGATATTTTCTTCATATTTCCAAATTGTAGGTCGTAATCTTTTTAATATAGTCACTATGTTACTTTTGTATACCTAGTCCTTTTGAGAACTGTATTCTGAAATGGCCAAAATATTATTAACACAGGTTGCTGTGTATGTTCCTGGAAGCAAGGGGGCTCCATCATTTGTAAGACTCTACGAATACCCTAAATTCGAAGGCCCACAATCCATGTTGGCCAACAAGAGTTTCTTTAAAGCTGATAAGGCAACAATGCTATGGAATAGCAAAGGTACATCAATTTTCACATTTTTCTCTCTTATCTTTATTTCTAAAGCTGTAGATATAAAAATTCTCTGTGATTAACTGAATTGTTAATGTAAAAAATATGACCCTTTCAAAGTAGTAGGCTATTGGATTTAACAACAAGCTGATAGCAAGAAAAGCAAACAATGAATGATAAGGTACAAATAATAATTAAAATAGTATGATATATATAACTTTAGAAATGTCGTAACAGTTACAGCTTAGCATAAATAGTGAGTTTTGGAAACCTGCTTGAACGCTTATAATGATGGGGTCTGAGGGACATCTGTCTTCAGTAGAGATTCATGAAAATTGGGGAGACACTACAAAGAATAGCCTCTCTGTCATTCTTCCCAGCTTAAATATTTTTTGGATGTGAGCACGTAAGGATTTCTCTGAGTGTAAGCAATCCGACATATGTTTGTGTAATATTTTAAAATTCATCTGCCTCATTTGCCTGAAATTCCCTCTGATCACTCCTAGACTTTTCACTTTAAAACCCATCATTCCCAGCCAACTCATCCCCTGAACTGTCAGAAAAATTCTCTGATGCTTGCCAGACTACAACAGAATTATTCATTTCCTACTACTGCTTTTGTGGGAAATAAGACTATGAACCATTTGGTAAAGCCAAGAAAGAATTAAGATACTCATTCTTCAGTTTGTAAAATGACAAATGGAATAGAAGGGTATAAAACAGAAGAAAGATCCTGCTGAATCACAACAAAAGTCCATATAATCTATCTGCTTGCTTCCTATAGTGGCTAGTTCTATGCCTCTGAACCTTAAATAGATTATAGGCAAGAAGCCTTAGGATGGGGAAACAGTGGCCCTACCAATGTTATTGGGCTTCAATTTCCGTTAGCATTACTCATTCTGCCTTTTCTGGCTATATCCTGTGCCTGAAACTAAGTGTTTGCATATAGCAATAAGTTGCAGTTTCTTTTTGTAAAAGCTTATCTGCAGCTGCTATTGGTTTTTTTTTTTAAAATGTGTTTTTTGAAAACATCTGAACAGCTACTGCAGTGCTTGTCATAGCTAGTACCGAAGTCGATAAAACAGGAGCATCCTATTATGGAGAACAAACCCTGCACTACATTGCAACAAATGGGGAAAGTGCTGTTGTACAACTGCGTAAGTATTTTTCATAATTAAATTAGAATATTGATAAGCTGCAAAACAGAACATTTATTAAAGATACGCTAAAATATTATTACAGTAGAGCCTCGCTTATCCAACATAAATGGGCTGGCAGAACATTGGATAAGCCAAAATGTTGGATAATAAGGAGGAATTAAGTAAAATACCTATTAAACGTCAAAATTACATAATGATTTTACAAATTAAACACCAAAACATCATGTTTTACAACAAGTAGACAGAAAAAGCACTTCAATACATGGTAATGTTATGTAGTAATTACTGTATTTACAAATTTCACACCAAAACATTGCAATGTATTGAAACAGCTGTGGATCCGGGCAGGAGGCAAGACTGCATTGAGTAACATAGAACGTTGGATGAGCAAAATTTGGATAAGCAAGACTATTGTATTTCAGAACAAACATCAATCTGCTATATTACCAAACTACATTGATTAAATTTCTGTGGAGTTCTGGCTGACAATTTGATTAATTGAAGTGAACTTGAACTGAATGCTGACATCATGGAGAAGAGATGCAGGAAGGACAGAGTATTTGTTGTTTATTTGTTCAGTCGCTGCCAACTCTTTGTGACCTCATGGACCCACGCCAGAGCTCCCTGTCAGCCATTGCCACCCCAGCTCCTTCAAGGTCAAGCCAGTCACTTCAAGGATACCCTCCATCCATGTTGCCCTTGGTCAGCCCCTCTTCCTTTTGAGGAAGGATCGCCTTCCTCAAATCTTAAAATGGGAAGAGAAACTGGTTGAAATTAGGGTTCTTTTAGCAGTTTTTAAAATGTCTCCCTCCCTCAAATTGTTTTATTCTTTCTCATTTGTTTTACTAAATTTCACTGAATTGTATATGTTGCAGAACTTGAATTAATTAGCCATCTTGTATATACAATAACTCCTATGTGAAACCTAATTGAGAAAGGTAGCTGTTTGTAAGACAAAATGTCTGGGCAGGCTGTAAGATTTTCAGGTGTCCCAAATGTTTTTTTTTTTTTTAAAGTTGCCTCAGTAAATATATCTTCTAATGACACTTTGTCATGTTAATGAATTGGCTAGATGAAGAAAGGCTCACATCTCTCTTGGTCATTTTTCAAGGAAATGTTCGTGTTTTCCTTATTAAGCCTTAATTTGCTGGGTAGCTGGTGCTGCTGAATACAGGCCTGGGAGATGTGATTGACTTCTGTTGTGGCAAAATATTTACATTTATGTAGGATTGCATCACTTGTGCCCTTTTGCAACACATCAGACATACACTGGGATTTCAGATTTTCAACAAGTCAGTCCACAAATGCATACTGTTGTTTTGGATTGCAGTGAACTTGGTGGCGAAAGATTAGTAGCAACACCAGGAGCTTATTAAACCCTTGCCAAGCAGCCATATGTAGCTAGAGGACAAGATTCATCTGAGTCTATAATTGGTCTAAATTGTTTTGTTAAGAAGTTTTCTAAAGAAGTATATCTTGCTATATATCAGTGTTACTTGTGATGGTGCTGCAGAATCATATCCCAGGTTCATTGTATCCAGAAAAAAGTAGATAATGATTTTATAAATGATTTGTTTTCTTTTCTTCTAGCAAAAAATGGTCCTATTTATGACGTAGCCTGGAATCCCAATGCCACCGAGTTCTGTGTTGTGTATGGTTTCATGCCTGCCAAAGCTACTATCTTCAATTTGAAATGTGATTCAGTTTTTGACTTCGGGACTGGCCCACACAATGCTGCCTACTACAGCCCCCAAGGGCATATCTTAGTATTAGCTGGATTTGGGAATCTTAATGGACAGCTGGATGTGTGGGATGTCAAGAACTACAAACTGATTGCCAAGCCACAGGCCCCCGATTCAACTTACTTTGCATGGTGCCCTGATGGGGAACACATTGTAACTGCGACATGTTCTCCCAGGCTTCGAGTTGGGAATGGGTACAAGATCTGGCATTACTCTGGTTCTGTACTATATAAATATGAAGTCGAGCAAAACGCAGAACTTTGGCAGGTTGCCTGGCAACCCTTTCTGAATGGAGTATTTCCAGCAAAGCCAATAAAATACCATGCTGTTCCGAGCAAAGTATCAAATGATGAACCAAAGCCGGGTCAAGCTTATAGGCCTCCTGCTCTGAGAAACAAACCTGTAACTAGTTCTAAACTTGTAAGTAACAGTTATTTCTATTATAAAATGTGTTGCTACAAAATATGTTATTTGTTCTGGAAATTGTTACATAGTAATGCAAAATCCAACTCTGTTGTTCTACTTAGGCACAGGATAAGCACTAGCAATGATAACTTAACAGTGGGGCTCTGTGAAAACAACCCTGTCTCTTAGATGGGATCCCATTCTCCCCCAAACAAATAACCAGTATATTTTTGTAAACACACACACACACATTCACACACATAATGGCTGGAGTCCTGTTGGTTATTCTCAGAGAGTTAGAGCACATTTATTGAATAAGTTCTTCAGTATTAAATCAATAGGTAACTAAATCTCATTGATTCAAGAAGTCTATTGTAATTGGAGTAATAATAGGATTGAGGCCAATATAGGCAGCCCCCAAGTTACAAACACCCAGCTGACAAGTGACTCACAGTTAAGAAGGGGGTGAGGAAATAGGAAGAGAGAAATCTACCCTTAGGAAGGGAAATTCACTTCTGAAAGAGCTATCATAGGGAAAAGGTGTCAACTGAAGAACAAACCTACAGAACCCATATTGTTCTTAACTTGGGGACTGCCTGTATAGGCAATGCGTATACAGGAGCAATTTGCAAAAATGTTTTTTTTTTGTTTTGTTACAGCAAGGTTCTCTCTCTCTCTCTCTACACATACATACATACACACATAAACACATACACATACTACAAAGCAGGAAAGAATGGGAGCAAAGACAAACTTTTTGTATCTGTGGGATGGATCCAGATGTGGATATATTGGATCGACCCACTGAAATAAATGAGATTTAGTTTGGTATGACCTACTTTAAGTGCTCTTAATAGCTATGGGTCTGTTCTAAATACATCCTTATCTGGATTCAACCTTAGATTTCTTTCAACCAGATGGAATGATGGCATGCGATATTAGAAATAAAGCAGATGGAAAAGAAGTTACTGCACATTTAGTGGATAAAGATATTCAACTATCCGAATGATCATGATACTTTCAGTCATTATCTTTTAACATATAATTTGTATTTCAATACACTCAGTCCTTAGTATCCATGTATCCATGTATTCAACCAACCATGATTTGAAAATACTTTTTAAAAGTCCAAAGGGCAAATTTGATTTTACCATCTTATGTAAGGGGCACAATTTTACAATGCCATTCTATATAATAGGATAAGCATCCACAGATTTTGGTATCCATGGAGGTCCTGGAAACAAATCCTTTGATATCAAGGGCCCACTGTAATACATTTAACGCTGACATGTTAACATGACCTTACTTCTATGGAGATGGCACCTTGATGATATGCAATCATTTTGTACCAGTTCTTTGGACAAGCTAAGCTAGAAACCCTAATACAAGAATCTGCTGACAGTGTAGGAGAGCTTGTTAACACATCTCAAATATAAAGTTTTTCTACCTTCTACATAACATTGTGGGTGGGGTGGGACGGGACTATTCCATGGTTAAGTAAATTGCTTATTGCATTTTGGAGGATGATGTGCTAGCAAGAGATCCCATTTGCACAAGTAGATTCTGGTAATGAACTCTCTTTCCCATGAGGATTAACCATTAATTCCTTGGGGCTTATTTCTAAACAGCTGTGAACCTACTTATACACAGTAACTAAAAGTATTATACAGGATCAGTGCTGTTCACTGTGAAATTGCCAAAGGATGCGTGTTTAATAAGGCACTGACAGAATCAGCCGAACTTTGAGAGACTTAAAAAAACCTAGATCTTAAAACTCCTCAATGGCAAATTGTTTGGATATGCCTCTAAACCTGGATATGTACAGAGGTCATCATATTTCCTTTCAAGACTGGTTTTATGGAGTAAAATCCAACTTTGTACAAGCAGACTCACTGTCTGCAGTAGAGTCTTCCTTTTCCTCTCCTCTCCACATTTCTCCGTATTTATCTTACAAAATGGGTCATGATGCTCTTTAGCCTCTCTGAAATTTTTTTCCTTACTTCCATATTAAATGCTAATATCTTTCCTTTTTGTGATTCATACAAGAGATGAGATATTGGTCAAGGGAGGTAGTCACCCAATTGGCTGACCGCACCCCCTTGTACGAACCTGCCTGGGCCCTGAGATGTTCAGGAGAGGCACTTCTCTCGGTCTCACCTCCATCTCAAGCTCAATTGGTGGGAACAGGAGAGGGCCTCTTCTGAAGATCTCGGGGCCTGAGAGAGCTGCCCCTTGACTCTGGAACTTCCTGCCCAGGGAAGCCAGAATGGCCCCTTCCTTGCAGTCCTTCAGGCGGCAGGTTAAAACCTTTTTTTTTTTTTTTTTAATTCAGGCAGGCTTTTAAAGAAGAAAGTTTTTAAGATCGTCAGGGGCTGCTTTGATTTTATATGCTTTTAATGATGTTTAATACTGTCTTAATACTTGTATATTTGTATATTTTAAGTTGTATTGCAGTGCTTTTAGTTGTGAGCCGCTTCGAGTCCATTTGGAGAGAAAGAGCAGGATATAAATAAACATAATAATAATAACCCTTTTATGTAGAACCATTTATATTTCAATTTTCTTTTGCGTTCCTTCGGCCTCTGAATTAGCAGATCTGTGAGACCAACTTTTTCATGTTTTTGTTTGGCTGTGCTTTAAGAGAAGACACTGCTTCATTAAAAGGAATATTTACTTCTCACACACAGTTAGTTGTTCATTCTCACTAACTGCTTAAACACAGTTAATGAGACTGATTAAGAAAGATGACTAATGCCATTCAATCTGCCCATTTGTTTCAGGTATCAGAATTAGTTGTGTGGGCAGGAAATATTTAAAAAATTGTTTGCTCATCATGCTAAAGTTGAGTGTCTAAGAAGCAAGTAGAATACCAGATTTTTTTTTCTACAAAATAATCTAAATGTACTGCAGGGGGAAAAGCCTTTTTATGGGTTTTTAAAACATACTTCAAATTTTATTTCTATATTCTTTAAATTTTCCCCAAGAACCAGTGTGGTGTAGTGATTTGAGTGTTGGACTAGGACTTTGAGACACCAGGGTTTGAATCCTTACTCAACCAAGCCAATCCACTTGGACACACTCTTAACCTCAGAGAATGGTGACCGCAAACTCTATTGAACCAATCACGCCAAAAAACATATATATCATAAAAAACATGATATATCATAAATGATTTGAGGGCAAACAGTAATGGTATTGGGTTGTTGTAGGTTTTTCGGGTTATATGGCCATGTTCTAAAAGCATTCTCTCCTGACGTTTCGCCTGTATCTATGGCAAGTATCCTCAGAGGTTGTGAGGTCTGTTGGAACTATAATGACATTACCTGGGCAACATCCCTGCAGACAGTCAATTCTCTCACACCAATTCTCTGACACTGAAAAAAAAAAGCATTATGGCTAAGGATTGTATGTTTTAAATGAATTTTAACAGCTGAGCTATCAAAGTAATTTTAGAAAAAATATAGTAATCAGTAAAGAACAGGCAATTCCTGAGAAATAAGATTCATCCCCCCCCCCCTGCTCCACCAGGATGCATTTATTGATATGGGGTGTTTATATTTATCCCATTTTATATAGATAGGGTTTTTTTTGTAGGAAATGCAGTTAAACTTGACAGTATCACAGTCCATGGGAATAACACATTAATAATCCCATGAGATAAATATACACACGTGTACTATACCAATTGCAGATCTGCACAGGTTTCACACAATTTTTGACATGGAAATCTTAAGTAGTTTAATTAGCTACAGGTCCCTAAAGGAAAGAAAACAAGCCCTCTTACATTTGTTTCTAGAAGTGAACGTGTAGATTATTTCAGGAAAACCTCAGATATTAATATACTCTTGATCTTAATTATTGATCTGCTCTTCAAGTTGTTTTTTTTTAACATCTGGTATTTGCTTGTTCTTTTTCCACCCACACTTCCTCTTAGCATGAGGATGAACCACCACAGAACATGAGGCCACAGTCAAAAAGTGATGATAAGCCATTATCTAAAACAGCACTCAAAAATCAAAGGAAGCACGAGGCAAAGAAAGTTGCTAAACAGGTATGGCTGAAGTTTTAATTCTCTTGTGCATGATGTTTTGTTCACATTTTGTGAACTTGTTTACCATATCCTACTGTGCCTTTCTGTATGGAGCATAATATGTCCTCTTATTAACAATCAGTTGTAATGAATTAAGAGTATCTAAAAAGTTTTTTTTTTAAAAAAATAAAGATTTTATTATTAACAAAAATGCTCCACAGAATGGTTATATCTCAGAGCTATTTTTCTGATTATATATTTGTTGTTCAAAGGAGGCCAGGGCCGAAGGGGACCAGGAAAGTGCTCCAGCAGTGCAGACTGCATTGCACAATATACCACCCGCTGTAACATCGGGAGATCCTGAAGTGGATAAGAAGATAAAGAATCTGAGGAAGGTGGGGGAAATCCTTGCATTGAAGAAATTTGCATAAAATTTTCCAGTCACAAAACAACTGTCATCCTTACCATCATCTTGTTGATGACAGAGGAAGGATTTCAGATTCATTCTCTTAATTTTACTTTCTCTTATAGTACCCTCCCTGTACTGTGAAGCTAACAAGGGAGGATTAGGAAGTTAATACTTCCCTAGTCAGTTGAGCTCTGCCAGCTTCTTCCCTGCTGTAACAAAAAAAGAATATGATGGCTGTGAGTGAACAGTGTCCCAAGAAACTTTGACAGCTTTCTGTCTGTCTTTAGGGTATGTTGACAAGTGTAATATCACAATTAAGGGTTCCTAAAGAAGTTTCCCATGACCAGAATCTAGGAACACATTTCCTTTGGCTACAATTTAATGAATCCCTGAGAGGTTGAAAGGCTGCTTTGGACTTTTTCACCAATTTATTAAAAAATCAGAAAGGATCAGCAGAGGACATTTGAACAGAACAGGAATGTATAAATGTGATTATCTTATACCTGCTGGTCTTTTCCCAGTCAGAATAAATGCAGCTGTTTTTCTTCCCATAGAAGAGGAAAGACAGGGTATGAAAACAACTAGAAGGCCTTTTTGTTATGAAAACCAAACTTAGCAGTGAAATAGTCTCATTTCCAGTCGTCTTAAGTCAGGCTATAAGTTTGATTTGTACAGTTGGCTTTTTCAGATGATATCTGTTCTCATCTATATATGTGTATCTTGTTAGAAGCTTCTCTAATGGTACAAAATTATCTGTGTCTGCCAGGTCCTAAACCAGGGAGCCATGTACATAACAGTTATATACCTGCTGTTACTATCATGGAGTGCCTGCTATCACTCTCTCACTTCAGGAAAGAAGGTGTAGTCATCAGGGGATCCAGTAGTCTAATGCAGAGCTTCAGCAACACAAGTTCCTAGCCCTGCTCTAATGGCATGGCTTGCCTGATTGTAGATCTAAGCTTGGGTTTCGGATTTCTTTAGTATGTGGACTCTACATTATTTTTTAAAAGTAAATGAAGTTGTAAGAGTTGTAGCGGTTTGAGTGTTGGGCTAGGTTTCTAGGAGACTAGGTTTCAAATACTGCTCAGCCCTGGAAACCCACCTCAGTGAAATAACACCCCCCATACCTGTGTTAGAAACTCAATAAGTCAAAATTGACTTGAAGGCACATAATATATTAAGTTCAGGAGGAGTATAGGTGCATCATTGCACCCAAGGAGTCATTAGAGAGCTGTAAAAATCATTAGACACACTGTTATTCTCTTTCCTCCTCACCCCATAGACTGTTTATAAAGTCTGACATTTTCCCATTTGTCTTAAACATGCTTTTTTATCTACAGAAACTGAAAGCAATCGAACAGCTGAAAGATCAAGCTGCTACAGGCAAACAACTAGAGAAAAACCAGGTATTCTTATCCTATTTCTATATGTTGTTAATACATGTGATTTCTAAAGCATTTGCCGGAATATGACACCTTTCCCCTTATGATTAAAAGTTCTAAAACTACTTCGCTCTAGAGTTCTCCAAATGATGTTATTCTTCAGAATGAAAGAAAAAACCTGCAAGAACTGATCAAACTCCATTTTGTCTAGAAGCCGGTAGCCTTTTGCTCCAATGAGCTGTATGTAACAAAGAGTGGCTGGCCAGATGCAAAGTTTGTAACAGTTCTTACTTTGGAACACAACTTCCAGAATTCCCAGGCTAACATTACCCCTAATCAGGGCTGCATGCTGGTAGTGAGCATGTTCCCAAATAAGCACAGCTTTATCTTTATATATATACATCAGGCTGAAGGAAGGGCAGCTTGTGGATTGTATGAGATCCATAGAAATCCTTCTCTCTCTCCCCACCCCCTCCCCCCAATTTCTTGAAAATAAGTAGCAGAATTTTGAGGATAAGAACAAGGAATGAGGAAGAACTTCCTGACTGTGAGAGCCGTTCAGTAGTGGAACCCTCTGCCCTGGAGTGTGGTGGGGGCTCCTTCTTTGGAGATTTTTAAACAGAGGCTAGATGGCCATCTGTCAGGGGTGCTTTGAATGCAATATTCCTGCTTCTTGGCAGGGGGTTGGACTGGATAGCCCAGGAGGTCTCTTCCAACTCTATGATTCTATGATTCTAAGGACGTTGGCAGAGGAGCACCCAGATGTGATGCACTGAGCTTGAAAAGTTACTTTTTGAACTATAGCCCTCTACTATAGTCACTGACCATGCTTGGAGTTGTAGCCCCAAAACAACTTTTTCCGGTTCTAATGATGTCAAAATCTTCTGCTTTTCACAGTGCCTAGTAGGATGCTTCTCTGTAGCCTATAACTGGGGCAGGACACTTAACAGTTCATTGATGTGGTTGCCTCCCACAAAAGAGTGGGTATTGATAAGCCATGTTCAGTTTCTGGACATGGAGATTCCATCAAGCTGCTATGACAAAAAGTTATTGATTGACCCATTTGTTGGGAATCAGTGTAATCCACTTTTAAAGTCAGTTTTGCAAGTGGCTGTCACCACAACCTCTGGCAATGAATCCCATAAATGTATTTATTGGCTGGGGGAAAGTTCCCCCTTTGATCTGCCCTGTTTCTATGACCCATTAGTTTCATTGGGTGTCCCAGTGCCAGTATTAACGGAATGTTCTCTAACCACCTTCTCTAAAGTATGCCTTATTTTATAAACCTCTATTGTTGTCTTCCCTTGCTGTCTTTTAAAGTTTCTATTTCAGTGCTAGTTGTAGTGAAGCTCCACATGTTAAAGTGGAGCCAATGGGAGTATAGTGCCTAGATCCAGGGAAGTCATGCTACCCCTCTATTCTGCCTTGGTCAAACCAAACCTGGAATACTGTGTCCAATTCTGGGCACCACAATTGAAGGGAGATGTTGACAAGCTAGAATGTGTCCAGGGGAGTGTCCAAAGGAGGGCAACCAAAATGATCAAGGGTCTGGAGAACAAGCCCTATGAGGAGCATCTTAAAGAGCTGGGCATGTTTAGCCTGCAGAAGAGGAGGCTAAAAGGAGACATGATGGGCATGTATAAATATGTGAAGGAAAGTCATAGGGAGGAGGGAGCAGGCTTGTTTTCTGCTGCCCTGGAGACTAGGACGCAGAACAATAGCTTCAAACTACAGGAAAGGAGAAGTGGAACTCTGCCCAGGAGTGTCATGGAGGCTCCTTCTTTGGAAGCTTGTAAACATAGGCTGGATGGCCATCTGTTGGGGGTACTTTGAATACGATTTTCCTGCTTCTTGGCAGGGGGTTTGACTGGATGGCACATGAAGTCTCTTCCAATTCTATGATTCTAAAGTAAGGGGAATTGGCTGGAGGAAAATCGAGATCAAACTGGTAAAATTTTAAGTCTATACAGTTACAGTATGTTAGAGTGTATTGTATTCATATGTGAATTATGTTTCCATTGTGTTTATTACATAAAATCTTATGCTCCCTTTTGTTTATGTTCCAGCTGGAGAAGATTCAGAAAGAGGCCACCCTTCTAAAGGAGCTTGAAAATCTGGAGCTGGGTCTCTAGAACTACAAAAGAATTGCAGTTTTGTTCTACAGAATCAGTGAATAGCAAATGACTTCAGAATGTTCATTTTAAAATGCTTACATCACATATGCATTTTATTATTTCCCCTTAATATCCAAATAATTGTAATTTAGAACCAGGCAAACCAGTTTCTGTGTTTCAAAACACATTGACAAACTCCTAATAAAGTACAGGGGGTCTTCTTACTTTTTTTTGAACAAGAACTCTGTAGATAAGAACCTTATGCAACAATAAGATGCAGATTGTAATAAAAGAGCATTTGTCGTTAAAGACTTTAGTTTTCTTTTATAGGTCTTAAGATCTTATATATTTCTAAAACATCACTAACATAAGCCTGCTAAACATCTACTTTAGCTAGTTAGCTTGCTTTTTAATAGGCTGAATTTTCTTAGAAATCAATGGGTTTTATTTTCTTGCTATGAGCAAGAATTAAAGAAAATAAGGAAATGAATTACACTTAAAGGAAAAGGAATGAACCTGATTATTCTTCAAGCATTCTCAGCAGTCCCTTTGTAAAGATGGAGGAAATAATTATGCACGCACCAGACCCCATATGATCTTGGAAGCTAAGCAGGATCAGCCTTGGTTAGTACATGGATAAGAGACTGCTAAGGAATATCAAGTGCTATAGGCTATATTTCACAGGGAGGCAATGACAAGTCACTTCTGTATACCTTAGAAAAACCTATGAAATTTATGGGACTACTATGAGGGGGAAACTTAAAGGCACATGCACACATGGTTCATGCATACAGAAGATATGACTCTAATCAGGGGGGGCAAACTCATTTCATTGAGGGCACATCAGCCTTTAAAAGGTCATTGAATCCATTGACAGAGAATCAGGATACAGAGGGACAACTATAATTTTTTTACATAGTAATCGGTGCTCTTTAGTTTTTACCTAGTTTGGGTCCCCAGATGTTACTGAACAACAACTCCCATCACTTTTGATTATCTGCCACGAGGACTGGCGATAATGGGAATTGCAACTCAAAAGCACTTGTTGCTCTGAGGTTGGAGAAAGGTAAACGGATGTTTTAAAGTCTGACATCATATCCAGAAGCCTTGTGTAGAAATTCAAACCCCACTCTCCTGACTAAAAACAGCAAATTGCAGCCTTCCAGATGTTACTGTATTGCAATTCTCATCAGCTCTAGTCATGATGTCTAATGATGAGAAATTAGGAGTTGTGATTCAACATCTGGAGGGCCACATAAAATGACATGGCAGGCCAGATTCAGGCTGTGAGCCTTAAATTTGACTCATGTGCTTTGCAACTCGTATTCTACCTGGACTGCCTACAGCAGCTGCAAACTGCAACCAGACAACATCTGGGGAGCCTTATCTTCCTGTCTTGTGCTATGGTTAGTGGTATACTATATGAAATAATTTACTATTGACATCAAAATAAAATCTTATGGATTGAGTCTTATTGCATTACTTTAGAAAGCTTTGGGGTATGTGACTACTTCCTTTCATTGCTTAGACCAGTGCTTCCCACTTTGGTCCTCCAGATGTTGTGGAGTTCAGCTCCCAGAATGCCTGAGAGTTGGCCAAGATGTCTGAGGTCTCTGGGAACTAAAGTCCCAAACACCTGAGGACCAAAGGTTGGGAACCACTGGTCTGGACCCATCAAAAGATGATGTATTAACACTTTTCTTCTTCTATCTCCAGCAGCATCACAGCTACCCTGTGTTTATGCCAGGCCTCTTCAGGCTGCAGCCATGAATTGCTGTTTTACTTTTTTCTTAATGAAGATCTAAAGCTCTCTACCTAAATTGGGTGCAAAACTAGTTCAGGGAAGACATAGCTAATAGAATTAAGGAACAGGGTGTCTTGAAGCACTTGACTCAGAGTAAGAATATTTTTGAGTAAGAAAAACAAAGACAAAGAAAAACCTACTTCTGAGTTTATTTCAAATTAGTAATGAGCTACTTTTAAATAAATCATTGCTGCTGTTTAAACAGTGGGAAATCAGAAAACTTGGGAGGTCTACTACAAATCTCCTGGAAATCCTCTAGTAGATCTTGACATACTTCCCTTCCAAAAAAAAAAACCTTTAAAAATATTGGTATGTGTTTTTGTTTGGTATTTGGCTTAGCGAAAATTGCGTATATATGTGTGGTTTTGCGCATGCATTAAAATGTATATCTAGTTTTGCACACGCATTGCAATGTAACGTTATTTTTTGGCTTTTTACGTTTCTTCTGCTGTGTTTTTTTAGTGTTTTTATGAGTGATGGTCACTCATTGGCCTGATAGGTGCATTGTGTCCAAATTTGGTGTCAAGTCATCAAGTGGTTTTTGAGTTATGTGAATCCCACAAACGAACATTACATTTTTATTTATATAGATTTTCCTGATATAGAGACTCAAGGCTTGAGACAGAGATAGACTTGACCAAGGACCCATCCACACAGGCCTGAAAACCCAGATGAAAGTAGGAAAATAGAGGGGGTGGCTATAAAACACACACCCACAATGCGCACTTAAATGTGGTACAGCATAAAAACATGATTTTTTAAAAGTTTGAATAAATTCTGATATCAGGCAAAGAATACACTCCCATGGAGCACTAAATCCCAGCGCTCTCCAAAGAATGAGGAGTTCCTTGTGGTACGCTTGTGTAGACTGCTCCAGCACTTACCCTTATTTTAAGATCCCGAAACAGCTTATCGAGGGGTGTAAATAGACGGAGTCATAGACACACAGGTGGCTAAATGGAAGCACAAGAGAAAAGCAATTCTGATGAGAACTCTCACCAACCATTCCTTTATTTTCATTTTCTGTGTATTACTGAAAGGAAATTGAGTTTGAAATTGCACACCGGCAGCAGCATGTCACAGGCAAGTGACCCCAAAAGGAAAAAGGGTTCAAGAGGGCAAACCTGGAGGTAACAGGAGTGAGGATGTGGAGAAATTGTGACAGAAAATCTGTTTGTGCACATTTTGCTATATCCACATTGGCGAAATGCTTATGAGATGCAGCACATATCAGAGTATCACTAGGGAAAAAATGAAAGGAAAACTTTCAGGAGATGTCCCACCTTAGCTTTTGCAGTTCCTTTCTGTTCACATTAATCAGGCCTTTGTGGATGCTGTGGGATCATTTATCAGAGCTACTGGGTGCATGTATGGACTCTCCACCAGGTAATAAGATTTTTAAACCCACTTCGCTTCTCCGGATTAAGAGGCTGTCCGGAAGGGCCCCTAGACTCTTTTGAATAGACTTATTCAATCATAGGTTTGTTCATGATTCTTAACTATTCACACTAATGAATAATTAATTCATTGACTGCCCTCTACTGGAAGAGCTATGCAATCCATTATTTATTTCAATACAGATATTTCAAATGTTTAAGTAGGAATTGCTCTATGACATTTACAGTTCAGTGCAAGAGGTGATTACAAATTGCTGCTTATGCCCTAGCACATTTTTAGTAGCATACTGCCCTGGCATTTGCCTCTCTTGAATCTGCTCATTTTACTGCCCTTTCCCAATCCTCATACGTTTTTATAGAACCACCCTCAAGCCAGCATATTCCATAATGTTGGCTGTTCACTCATGCATCTAGAAAAGCAAATCAGAATAGGGGCCTTGGCTCTTACTATTTTTTTTCTTGGTAAATCCAGGTTTTGTGGGCAAAGGGTGGAGCAAATATCGCACAGTTGTAAGCATCCGTTTGTATTAAAATTGTGCTTGGGGTTGGCATTCTTTATGGCTTCCACTTTACCTCTTGTTTGTCTTCAGTGACGGGGCTTGAATGCAGTATGTTATCTGTGATAATGTACTTTGGGGCCATAAGGAGGACTACAGATGTATGTTTGTTGTCTCAGATGTATGTTCGTTGTAATTTGACACCACTTTAACTGCCATATCTCATTGTTATGGAATTAGGGGGTTTGTATATTTGGTGAAGCACTAGCACTCTGGCAGGGAAAGCTAAAGGCCTTGTAAAACTAGAACTTCCAGGATTCCATAGTATTGAGCCATGGCAGTTAAAATGGAGTCAAACTACATTAATTCCTCAGTGTAGGCGCTCCCTTTCTCTTTTTCATACAAATGAGAAAATAGAGTCTGCTTTATTCCTTAACCCAACCAAGGCAACATATAAATTCCTGTTTTATTTTATTATTGTTTTAATAACTAGGGAGAAATTTCTCTTGGCACATGTGTTAGCTTACTGCATTGCTCATTAGTCCAACTTTCAGGATGATCCAATTTTCCACTGCTTTCCCTTTAATCTTGTTTGCCTCGTCTTATCTTCCAAGGCAGGCTCAGAATCCTACAATTATCCCTCCCCACCCCTCTAGATTTTGGAAAACTTGCATATACATGATATCTTGGAAATTGAACCCATGTCTAAAAATGAAATTCATGTAGGTTTTGTATACATCTTTTACATACAGCCTGAAGGTAACTTTATCCACAATATTTCAAATTATATTATGCCTGAAACACTGTTTGTGTACATGGAGCCATCAGAAAGCAAAGGTGTCACATATCATCTACTCAATTTTAGAGTATTTCAGATTTCAGTGTTTTGGAAAAGGGATACTCAAACTGAATTACTCCTGGGTTGCTGCGAGTTTTCCGGGCTATATGGCCATGTTCCAGAAGAATTCTCTCCTGACGTTTCGCCCACATCTATGACAGGTATCCTCAAAGGTTGTGAGGTTTATTGGAAACAAGGACATTCCTGGACATTCCACAGATAAACCTTTCAATAAACCTCACAACTCCTGAGGATGCCTGCCACAGATGTAGGTAAAACATTAGGAGAGAATGCTTCTGGAACATGGCCACACAGCCTGGAAAACTCACACCAACCCAGTGATTCTGGCTATGAAAGCCTTTGACAACACTGAATTACTATTTTTTAAAAATGAATATAAACTAGCAAGTGTGACTGGTCCAAAGACACCTAGTGAGTTTCATAGCTCCAAGGGGATAAGAATCCAGGTTGCCTCAGGGCCCTTCCACACAGCCATATAACCTTGAATATCAAGGCAAAGAATCCATAATATCTGCTTTGAACTGGATTATCTGAGTTCACATTGCTATATAATACAGTTCAATGTGGATTTAATATAGCTGTGTAGAAGGGGCCTTAGTCTCAGTGCAAAGCATACATTTACTCCTGTTGTTCCTGCTGATGACCCACAAGTATATTATCTGACACTGAGAGAGACCTCGCTCCTGTACTTCTGCTGCTTAACAAATTTATTCCAGATCTGATCAAAAGAGACTTGGTTGAAACATACAATG